CACCACTCAGGAGGCTGAGGCAGGAGGATCTTTGCGAGTTCGAGACCAGCCTGGGCTACAAAGTGAGCTCAAGGCCAGCCTGAACTGCATAGTGAGACCCTGTCTCAAAAAAGAAAAAAAAGTTAAGGTACATTCCCACTTACCTATGAGCGAATGCTTCAACACATGCTTTATTACTGCTTTGTTTTATTTGCAGTACTGGGGTTGAACCCAGGGTCTTCATGCTGAGCTACATCTGCAGCTACATCTACATCTTTTATCGTGAGTCAGGGTCTTGATAGGTTGCCCATGCTGGGCTCAGACTTGGCATCCTCTGCCTCAGCCTACTAATCAGCTAGGGTCACAGGTGTGTGCCAGCTAGTCCTGCTTCTTGGAGGGTTTTGAGCAGAGGGTGACTTCCTCTGATTAGATTATGAAGGGCCATGCTAGCTGCTATGTCAGGGAGCCGAGAGCCCTGAGGTGGCACAGGAATCACCCAGGGGCTACTGGTGATCCAGAGCAGGATGGCGTGTCTGTGGCGCTGGTGTCTAGCTCGGTGTGGGGCAGGGGTGAAGCTGGCAAGGGTGGTGCAGGAAGGGTGTAAGAGAGAAACAGGAAGTGCAAGGCTTTGGCCTGAGCAAGTGGTTTGTGTTTGCTTATGCTTCTTTTAGGAGTCAAGGTCTCTCCATGCTGTCCAGGCTGACCCCAGACTCCTCGGCTCCAGCAGTCCTCCTACTGTGCCTTCCACAGAGCTGGGGCCACAGGTGCTGCCCCGTGCTTGGCCTGGTGCTGTGCAGGGAGAGGAGTAGACTGCCTTGACTGACATGTCACACACCGAGTTGGATAAATGAGGGAACTTTGACCTCTGGTGCCTTATTCGATCCTGCAAGACCGCTGTGTATAGTCATTATTAATCCCACATTTTACTCAAAGAAAGAATTTAGAAGTGGGAGAAAGCTGGGTGTGGTATCACACACCTGTAATCCCAGAACTCCAAAGGATGAGGCAGGAGGGTTGCTGCAAGTTCAAGGCCAACCTGGACTACATAGCAAGAGCCTGTCTTAAAAAAAAAAAAAATGGGAGGAAATGCCCAAGGCTGCATAGATGGTTCAGGGACAGAGCTGAGATCCCAGTAGGGGCCTCTGATGGGTTTCCTGTGATCCCTCTCAGCATCACTCCTAGGGCAGGACACCAGCCAGGCACTCCTGCCCATCCTGGGCCGCTTCCTGGAGTGAAGGTCTACTTGGACAGAGCTGCAGTTAAGAAGATGTTATGGTTTATGTCTGTGTGTCCCCCCAAAGCCTCCTGTGGCCCTGGGGCAGGCTATTAGAGTTTGAATATGGGTGTGAGAGCTGCACCCGCCCGGGAGTGGATAGTTTGCATATGTAAGGGAGAGGAAAAAGAGTGCTTGAGGACATTCTTCCCCCATTCTGCCCCAGTGTAAGTGAGTTGTTGCTTAGCTGTGGCTGCCATTCTGAGATGCAGCCCTCTGCCACGTGCCACTCTGCCTTATAATGTGCCAAGTACGGATTGAAACTTCCACGAACTGTAAGTGAAATAAACCTTTCCTTCCTTAATTTTTGGCGTCAGGTATTTTGTCCCAGCGGCGAGAAAAAAGTAACCAAGACAGAAGAGACCTGTGCCCTCCCCTCCCTCGGTGCTGGCCCTGCGAGAGGGGTGGGGGGCTGACCTCCACAACCCCCTCTCGTAATTGGCATTCAGAGGAGGTGGTAACTTAATAGGCCCAGCAGCCTGGAGGACTTGGCTGTTTAAGCAGCAACCACTCACCAGTAATGAAAGATCAGGAGTGGGGAAGCTGTATAAAAATAGCACTTAATAGTTAACTGGAAAACAATATATTTTTGCAACTATTGGTTCACAAGAAAATAATTGGGTCCCAAGGCAGGGATGACTCGTTTTCATGAGTGATTATATTGATCATTGGAGGGAAATGGATGCATCCCCTTTGGAGGCTGGCCAGCCATCTACTGCCCTGCGAGGCCGCGGAGAAGAGCTGCAGGCTAATGAGTTGCCCGGCACTGAGCCAGCACTTGGGCTGCGGCAGGGAGCAGAGCCTGGTTCCCACCTCGGTCCTGAGCGCTCCCAGGAAAGAAAGCGGCCGTGCAAAGCCCAGTTCCTTCCTTGACCCATGGCACATTTGTTTCCCTTTTTCCCCAGGAATAGCCAACTAGCCGCAAGCGGCGTGTTCTGATGGTGGGAAGGCAGGCAGGGCTTTGCCACTGTGGGGAGAATGTGACCTCAGGTGTTCTCCTCTTCTCCTTTGGAGGCATTCCCAGTCCTGTTCATTGGCTCACTCACCCTCTAAATAGTCCCCAGAGCCAGGGGTGGCGGTGCACACCTGCGATCCCAACACCCTGGGAGGCTGAGGACCGTGAGTGTGAGTGCAGGTCCACCCCGGGTAACTTAGCAACCTAGTGGAACCCAGGCTCAAAATGAAAAATAAAAAGGGCTGGGGATGCAGCTTGATGCAAAGACCCTGGGTTCAATCCCCAGCACTGCAAGAAAAAAGAAGTGGGGCTGGGGATTTAGCTCAGCAGCAAAAGCACCTGCCTGGCAAGCGCAAGGTCGTGAGTTCAGTTCCCGGTACCGGAGAAAAACCAAAAAAAAAAAAAAAAGAAAAAAGAAGTTATCAGATGCTCCTTCTAGTAGGACCTTGGGTCAAGGGCCTTGTGTGTGCTGGGTCCCACACAAGCACCTTTCACGCTCAGCTCGTCTGCTCTTCACATCAGCCTGGAGAAGTGGGTGTCCTGAGCTGCAGTTCACAGACGAGGAAACAACCACTGTCACTGCCCTGCAGGCGACGGTCACTAGGCGTGATGCAGGCTGCCTGAGACTGTATGAACTAGGCCTGCGTTGTGGCCTCATGGGACTCCTTGTCCAGCACTTAGAAGTGTGTGAGGCCCTGGTTCCATCCCCAGCACTGGAAAAATAAGAAAAATTAACAGCTTCCTTCCATGGGCGTGGTGGCTCACAACTGTGACCCTAGGATTCGAGAGGTTGCCAGTTCAAGGCAGGCCTGGGTAATGGAGTAAGACACCCTACCCAGTTGCACAAGCTGGAAGTACAAAGTGTGCTGGGTGAAGAGATGGGAAGCCCAGCCGAGCAGTGAGTGATGCGGGGCTGGGTGCAGGCTGGCTAGGACAAGGCTGCTGGGAGAGGGCTGAGCTGTGCTCTTAGGTCCAACCTCCAACACCACCGCCCCTCGCTCGGAACCCCCACCCCCGGGGCCCACGCTGCTCAGACTGGGGACCCCTGAGGACAGACGCTCCTGTGCCCGGGGCCTGGGGCGAGGTGGGGTGACCTGTGGAGACTGGGGTGACAGGGAGCTGTGGACCCAGGCCTCCAGCTAGGAAGAGGGAAGCCAGCTGAGGAACGCAGTGCTGAGCAGAGTGACCCAGGTCAGCACAGGCCGGGAAGGGGAAGAATCAGTGAGGGCTGTGTTCGTTTTTGGTGCTGTGGCATTGCTAGGGATTCAATGCTGGGGCATGACATGGTGAAGCCTGGTGGGGACAGGAGGCCCAGGTGCTAGCATGAGGTGCTGGTGGCCTGAACAGCTGCACAGGCTTGGCAGGCGGTGGCGGCCTGCAGCCCACTCCAGATCTTCGTGGGAGGAGCCTGCTGGGAGGCTCACAGGGGGCCCTCTTCCAGTGCCCTCTCTTGTGCTCTCGGGTGAAGGAGGCCCAGGAGAGAAGCTAAAGGCAGCTTGTCACTGCTTAGTGAGGAGAGCCTGAGCCACCGTGGTGGAGCACAGGGAGCCTGTTCTCACAGCCTGAGTGCCTGGCAGACTTGGGGTGCAGATGCCTCCTCTCCTCAGAGCCCTTGGGCTGGTCTCTGCACCCTGAAGAGAACAAGGGGAGGGAGGGCCTTAGCCTCGGGCCCCTGGGTCCAGTCCTGCCTTTCCTCCCAGCCCTACCTTGGCTGTGATTACTCCAGTGCCAGCCTCCTGTTCCTGCCCTGGCCAGGTCTGCTCTGTGAGTGGCGTTCATGTTGGGAACCAGAGGCCCAGGTCACCACTGGTTGCATTGTTGCGTGGTGCCCAGGTGAGGGGTGAAAGCTCCTGGGAGGCCTAGCTCCCTGGGATCTGATGTCCTTTGCATTGAAAGCCCTGGGCTTTCTTTTTTTTTTTTTTTTTTTTTTGGTCTTTTCTTCCGGTACCAGGAATCGAACTCATGACCTTGCGCTTGCCAGGCAAGCTCTTTGCCACTGAGCTAAATCCCTAGCCCCGACCTGGGCTTTCTGCAGGTGGGGAGACTGAGGCTAAGGAGGAAAGGCGTCTGGGGGTTGGTGTGTGCTGCTGAGGTGGCCCCTGCCATGCTGCGGGTAGTGCTGTGGCCAGTTGCAGAGACTGGGACTCAGGCCTCCGAGGGGAGTGGCTGGGCACTTGGGTGTTTCCTGAAAGGTTCAGGTCACAGCTGCGCCTGCCATTGGTGTGAGTGGCCATCAAGGGGGTTCCGGGAAGGTGCTTGAGCCAGGGCAGGAGGAGGCCTTGGACACAGGTCGTCAAGGTTGGCCACCTGTCCCATTGCCTGGGGAGCTGCTTGCAGGCTGGGGTGGGACCTCGGGCTAAACCTTGGTGCTCCTTGCTGAGCTGTGAGAGGACAGTGGGTTCTCCGCAGACCTGGGAGCCTGGCCCAGGGCATGGGCCACCTGACTGCACCTGCCACTGTGGCCTGTTCCTTCCAGCTGTCACCAGTTGCTGCTGTCTGTGTCTGCTGTGTTCCTGAGGGGTGGGTCCTGTGTTTACCTGGGTCACTACAGAGGTGCCTGCGAGGCTGGAGGAGTGCAGCCGGCAGTACAGAGTACGTCAGGGGACAGCTGTTCCTGCCAGCCCTGCAAGCGTCCACACGTGCTCCTCCGTCCCTGCAGCTGTCCCCTTGGAGCCCAGGCAGCTGCAGTCTGTTTGTGCAGATGGCCTCTAGGGCACCGGAAGGGAAGCTGTCCATCAGGCGACCCTGAGAGCCTGTGTCGTGGTCCACACGGCCCCTTGTCCCATTCTGCAGGAGAAAGAAGATACTGGGACAGATCAAAGTCACGTCTCTGAGTTCTGACCCGCTCGTCCACAGAGTCACCCTTCTCGCTGAGCCTCATTAGTTTAAGGTGCATTATTTATCACTCCCTGAGCACATTAAAGATGGGGGTCCAGCCCAGGAGGAGGAGCCTTCTTGGGGAGGAGAGAGAGGGCCGCTGCCAGACTGGCCGGTGTGAGGTGGCCCAGGGCCAATTCCAGCCCTGGCCCAAGCAGTGGGGCTGGCAGAGCAGGGTGGCAGCATGGGGATCTGACATGTCACCCTTCTTCTGGAGGGGTGTGGCTGAGGGAGACAGAGTCAGGTCCGCCCCACTGTGCAGAACCTGAGCTATGACAGAACAAGGGGTCTGGCCACGATGTGATGTAAAAACCCAAAGAAAGTCTAAGAGGCCCCGGCAGTCCCCAGGAAGTAAAGGCTTCATGTGGAGCAGCTGTGGCCTTGGCAGGGCCTTCCCCTCTCACACCCTCACTGCTATGAGGCGAAGGCCTGGGACCGCTCCCGGCCTGCCCACGCCAGAAGTGCTTCCCTGGGCCTCGGGAGGTCCCGGGCTGGTGTATGATGGGCTGAGGTCCTAGAAGCTCTCGGACAGCCTGGCCACGGGTGTCACCGGGTGGCCTTGCACCGTCAGGGCCCGTCGGGCAGAGGGCAGGGGCCTGTGGGAAAGGCCTTGGGTGGAAAAGCTGCAGCCCTCGCTGCTGAGGGGTCAAAGAGGCACCAGTCCCCTGTGGCAGGGCTGCAGCCGAGTGGCCCATGTTGATTTTTTCCCTAGTTAACACTGTCCTTCACTCTCTTCTTGTGCTTTGGAGAGAGCTCTTGGCGAGGACGAGCGACTGCTCTCAGTCACCCCAGAGTCTCTGAGCCCGGGTTGGGTCTCCTCCCTCCCTCTGCCTCCCGCCCAGCCCCTGTGGCCCAGCCCTGACCAGCTTGCCTGCCTCTACCCACAGGTCCTCTGGCGCTGTCCCGTGGGCTGCTGACTGTGCCTCTCTCCAGTGACTCTCCGGCCCCTGGCTCCCCGTCCAGCGCCCTGCACGTCCCCGGAAGATGTTCCTGGTGGGCCTGACGGGGGGCATTGCCTCAGGCAAGAGCTCCGTGCTGCAGGTCTTCCAGCAGCTGGGCTGTGCGGTGGTTGATGTGGACGTCATTGCCCGGCACGGTGAGTGGAGGGAGGCCTCGGAGGAGACGGCTGTCTGGGTCCTGGCTGAGTCCTGCCCTTTCGGCCCAGCTCTTCTGTTTGCTCTCCTGCTCTGAGGCGTCTCGCCCCGCTTCTTGCCCGTGTCACCACAGGAGGGGGCCGTGCAGGCTGCTTCCCTTCCCTTCCCTTTGCTGCATCCAAAGGTGCACCTCAGGTTCCCCCGTTGCCTCTGGTCGTTGGGGTCCTGTGGCTCCAGGAGTGACCTAGCCACCCCTTCCTCCACAGTCGTCCAGCCAGGGTACCCTGCCCACCGCCGCATCGTGGAGGCCTTCGGCACCGAGGTCTTGCTGGAGAACGGCGACATCAACCGCAAGGTCCTGGGAGACCTGATCTTTCAGCAGCCTGACCGGCGGCAGCTGCTCAACGCCATCACCCACCCCGAGATCCGCAAGGAGATGATGAAGGAGACCTTTAAGTACTTCCTCCAGGGTGAGAGCCAGGCCTGCGTGAGGTGCTGGCTCGTGACGCTAGGAGCTCTGGGGAGCCAGGCACCAGCAGAGTCCCAGGGGCACCGTCCTTTAGCTCTGAGGAGGTGGAGAGAGCCTGGAGGCTGTTGATCCCCAGGAAAGAAGTCGATTTTCCGGTGGGGACAGGAATGATGACAGCCAATGGGTAATGCAGTCACAGGCCTAAGGTCAAGTCCTGGCCTTGATGATTTCTACCGTAGGGCTCCACTGAGGGGTCCAGGCCTGCAGTTTGGCTCCTCGTCTCTGCCAGCTTTGGACAGCTCTTTCTTCTTTGTCTTTTTGAGACAGAGTCTCACTATGCAGTTCAGGCTGGCCTTGAGCTCACTTTGTAGCCCAGGCTGCTCTCGAACTTGCAGCAACCCTCCTGCCTCAGCCTTCCAAGTGCCACCATTATAGAGGCGTGTGCCACCATGCCCGGCTAGACAGCTTTTATGAAGGCCTGGTGTTCACACTGGGGACTTGATTGTCACACAAACAAACTGCAGTCAGAGGCAGCTTTCATGCAAGCTGAGCCTCCTGGGAAAGCCAAGTTGCAGACTGGAGTTGGGGAGCCCCAAGATGGCCAGGTGGGGCTCTAGGTGGAAGATCATCCCCAGGGCTGGGCTCCCAGAGTTAGCCCAGTAGGTGCAGGGATGCCAAGATGTGCAGGGCCCTGAGCGAGAAGGCGTTAGAGAAGCCAGGGTCTGTCAGTGGACAGCAAGGGCCTTCACAGGGGCACACACATGGCGTGGCCCTCTCCCTGCACCCTGCTGGGAGGGGCAGAGGACCCAGTCCCAGGGTGGGGAAGGCTGGCCAGAGCTTGTGGGTCCTCCTGCCTGCACTGGTGTAGGCAGCCTCTGAGCTGAAGGCCTGGCCGTCTTGTCTCCCACCGTCAGTCAGACAGGAAGCCTTTCCTTCCTGGGGACTGCCGGGGCCTCTTAGGCTTTCCTTGGGCTTTTACATCTCACCGTGGCCAGACCCCTTGTTCTGTCATAGCTCAGGTTCTGCACAGTACGCCGACCTGACTCTGTCCCCCTCAGCCGACACCCCTCCAGAAGAAGGGTGACATGTCAGATCCCCATGCTGCCGCCCTGCTCTGCCAGCCCCACAGCTTGGGCCACCTCATGCCGGCCAGTCCGGCAGCAGCCTTCTCCCTCCTCCCCAAGAAGGCACTGGACTCTGCTTTTGTCCTTCCCCCTGTGCCTGGGCCAGGCCCCTCCTACACCACCCTCTGGCAAAACCTTCTGCCTTCCACACTGTCTTGGTTACTTTTCTCTCATTGCTGGGACAAAATACCTGACGCCCAAAATTAAGGAAGAAAAGGTTTATTTCCCTTACAGTTTGTGGAGGTTTCAGTCCATACTTGGCAGGTTACAAGGCGGAGTGGCACATGGCAGAGGGCTACAGCTCATGGCGGCAGAACACAGCAAAAGCAACAAGCACAAAAGGGAGGAATGGTGGCAAGCAGCCTCTTCCTCTCCTTTACATATGCAAACTATCCACCCCAGGGCGGGTGTAGCTCTCACACCCATAATCAGTCAAACTCTAAAAGCCTGCCCCATGACTGCATGAGGCTTTGGGGGGACACCCAGACACAAAGTATAACACACACCTGCCCTTTGCCTTCGCTGCCAGGCCATCAGGCCAGGGGCTCCCCTTCCAAAACGAGGTGTCGCATAATGTCACTTGCTCCCGAGTGCTGCCACAGTGTCACCCACCAGCCTCCCACCTCCCCACCTCCCACCTCTTAAATAAAAGCTAAAAAGCTCTTTTCAGCCCGATAAGGTGAAAAATGGGGACGACAGCTGTGGCTTCTACAGTCCTGGCTTCTCCCTGATGAGTATAACAAATACAACTGTCAAAGTTGGTATAATCAGACGTCAGATAAGATCACCAGCTGCTGGGGAGGTCTCTGCAGGCAGACATCTTCATAGAGTCGGGTGTGTGCAGGGCTTATCAGGAGGAGGATGACAGCTGAATAGCCCTGCCAGTGACCGAAGCCCAGCCACCATTCCAAGAGGGACGAGGAGAAAGGACAGGGCCGGGGAGGCCTAGGCCGGGCAGGCAGGTGGAAGGGAGATAAGAGGCCCAGAGGGGACCTGGTCTTTTCTGCTCTGGCCTGGGGAAGAGGTGTGGGAGCCGCACAGCCTTCTCCTGGAGGACAGTGGCAGTAAGAGCTGCCACTAGAACTCAGTGAGCCAGTGGGGTGCGAGTGGGGTGCGCACAGGCAGGGCTCATTTCACCTTTCCCAGCATCCTGTGAGGCATGGGTCACAGGCCAGAAGTGGGGGTGTCATCAGCCTTTCCCTGAACCCCCTTGTCCGCTGCCGGCTTCTCTTAGGCTTCTGAGGAACTCGGGGCCCAGCAGCTGACGCCACGCCCTTCCCTGCATCACCTCGAGCGAGGTCTGCGACATCCCTGCATCGGTCCAGTGGGCGTCAGCTGGGGCGGGAGGGCGTGGAGTAACCAGCTCTGTCGTCCACACAGGGTAGAGAAGCAGGGGCTGTGCCCGAGTATCTGGGCAGCCGCCTTAGGTGGGAAGGGCCAGCCAGCCCTGCACCCCATTGAGCGGCCTCTGCTGGGAGATGTTGTCTGTGCTTGACTTGTCCTGTGGGCATGGAGGTTGCATGGGTAGTGCTTAGCTCAGGGACGGGCCCTGCCCTTTGGGGGTCTCTTCTGAGCGAGGGTGGGATGGAGTAGGGCAGAGGAGCCTTGAAACTTCCAGAACTTTCCCCAGTTTCCCAAAAGTCTGGCTGTGTCATGTCCTCACTCAGAACTAACTTTGGGTTCAAGACCAAGGTGAACCAGCCAGGTGTAGTGGTACAGACTATGCCAGCACTCAGGAGGCTGAGGCAGGAGAGTCACTGTGAGTTCAAGGCCTGCCCAGGCTACATAGCAAGGCCCTGTCTCAAACAACTGAAAACATAAATCAAGATGAGCATTGTCTGCCCTGAGCACAGCCCATGGAAGGACACAGCTCCCTCCACCGCTGGCCTCAGGCACATCCTCCCGGGTCTCACACCAGTGCTGTGCAGCCCCTGGGGTTGTCCCCCACTGGAGCAACTCACAGCCTCTGCCGAGTGCGTGAGTCCCGGTCTCCCCTGGAAGGCAGCCCCTCCTCTGGGTGCTCGCTGGGCCGCAGCCCCGTCACAGGAGCAGTGCTTGTGTCCTCGGCACAGCTGAGCTGCGGTTCCGGCCTCTCCCCAGGGTACCGCTACGTGATTCTGGATATCCCGCTGCTGTTTGAGACCAGGAAGCTGCTCAGGTACATGAAACACACCGTCGTGGTGTACTGGTGAGTGTGGCAGCCCAGGGGGGTGAGCCTGGAGTGCCGTGCCCTTTGCCCTTTCCCAATGGGGGCCGAGGCCACGGCCTGGACAGCAGCACCCCGAGCCCGTGGAGGTAGCTGTGCCAGAGCCAGACACGCCTGGGGCAGGTGCGGGCCTGCGCTCCGCTGCTTCTGTGCCCAAGGCGCCCCTGCTTTCCAAACCACCCCGCGCCCTGCTGCTCAGCATGAGGTAGCCAGGGCGGAGCTTCTGAGGTGTAGAGGAGAGAGCGGCCCGCTGGCAACGCCTGTGAGCTGGGCTGGTGGAGGGGCGGCCAGGGCCTCGCAAGCAAAGAGCTTTGTTCTCAGAACCCCCGGGCCAGAAAGCACACCAGAGTGCAGGTTTTTGGGCGGGGAGACCCAGACGGCAGAGAGCATGAGCCACAGTCCCCAGAGTGCTCCCCAGTGCGCTCCCCAGGCCACACCCCCAGCCCTCGTTATTCGTACTTCTGACAGTTGTAGAGTACGTACGTGAGCAGAAATCGTAGCACCATGGTAAGCATGAGGCCCTCCAGCAGCTCAGGGAGAGCTGAGGGCGCAGCTCCAGGCCGCCTGCGCAGGGACGGGCAGGCAGCACCCACAGCCTTAGCGTCGAGCTGGCCCTGTCGTCACCTGGGTTCCCAGCTCCTGACAGAAGTTACGTAGGATCCTGCCCTCAGTGAGGTGGCCGCAGCACTCCCGCCCCACCCCCAGTCCGGGTCCCCTGTAACAGAGGACATTCATTGTCATGGAGGGCAGCCTCCCACACCCGGCCAGGGTTGGTCTGCTTCCCGGGTCCCAGAGAAGGGGAGGCCCTGACCTGGAGCAATAAAACCTCCCGTTTCATAGCCAGGAAAGCTCAGACCCAGTGGGTAGTGGGTAGGAAACAGCTGTGCAGACATCCCCTCCTGGCCTGAGGGGCCGAGCGGATTACAGGGCCAAGGCTGTTCCAGGGAACCTCTCTGGAGGGCCAGCTGTGGTCGCCAAGCTGAGCGGCTCCTGTGTGCCAAGGCAGGAGGGGGCTTCCTGAGCAGAGATGTGGGGTGGTGGAAGAGGCAGTCTCCCTTTCCTTTGGAGTTGAGAAACCCGCAGTGCTCTGCTCTGTCTGCAGTGCCTGGTCCTGCCCCAAGGCTGTGGGTCCAAGTTCTCAGTCCTTGCTACCTTGAAGGCCCAGGCTTGCCCATGCCCACTCCTTGGGCAGAGAGCACAGCAGCCGCCCTTTCAGAGTACAGGGGCCAGGGGAGGGCTCTGTGGCCCTAGGACGGGGTATATATGCTACAGCCCGGGTCCCAGGGACCTGCAGGAAATGTCAGGCTTTGGAGGGGAGCCTCTCAGCCAAGGGTAATCGAGGGACCCAGGATGCACTGATTGCAAGCAATCCAGGCCTCCCACCCCATGCCTGGGGACCCACCAGGGGGCAGAGAATACCACCCTCCTCCCTGGCCTGGGTGTAGGTGGCCCCCAAAGCTCTTGGAGCCCTGCCCTCACCAACCAGTTCCTAGGGTGGACCTGGAGGGGAGACCTGTGCCCAGCGCCTTGTCTGCCGGTGGCAGGGAGGCCAGGGCCCACAGTGCGGATTTGCCTGTCCCTAGTGATCGAGACACACAGCTGGCACGGCTGATGAAACGGAATGGCCTGAGCCTTGAGGATGCCGAGGCCCGCGTCCAGGCCCAGCTGCCCCTGAAGGACAAGGTCCGGATGGCCAACCATGTACTGGACAACTCGGGCGAGTGGGGTGACACACGGCGCCAGGCCATCCTCCTGCACATGCGGCTGGAGCAGTCGCTGGAGTACCTGCCGCTGCGGCTCAGCGTGCTCGCAGGGCTGGCGGGTATTGCCAGCCTCTTCTACCTGCTCGCCCGCTACCTGCTGCCCTCCCTCTAGCAGGGCGCAGCCCCTGCGCACACCTGGGTCTGGCTGGCCAGCCCTCCTTCCCTCCCGCCCCCCCAGCACCCCTCCAGCTCCTGTGACTGGGCAGCATGGTCACATTGGGGTGGGGGTTGTGGCTCTGTGGTCTCCTGGGGCCCAAGGCTCTCGGGCTTGAGTCCTCCCTGGCTTCTGCCCCATTTAAACCAGAACCCTGTGGACTGGGGGAAACCTTTTGGAAGAGGGTGTCCACTCTGAGAGGGGTCAGGGTGCTGCGGCTGGCAGGCCCTGCCCCTGCGCTGCCCCCAGGCACCCAGCCCAGGCTTCCACCACACTGGTGGGAGCCCTGAGCCCCTGGCACCCACAGGCCCTGCTGCTCCTTACCATGTGCCTCCCATGTGCCTCCCTCCAGGAGCCCTGGCCTGGGAGTCCACTCCCACCCACCCCTGCCACGCCGCAGCAGCTAACCCGGCCAGGCGCTGTTGAAGCCTGGCTGGTCGGGGCCTGGGAGCTGCCTCCTCCTGCTCCCTGTAATCCATGGTTTCCCCAGCTCGGAGCCTTGACTTCTGGAGACGTGGGCCTCCTGGGGCAGGGCTGTCCTCACCGCTGCTCCTGCGCTGAGTCGGCTCCTGTGGTGCTCGAATAAAGTGTGATCCAGACAAAGAGGCTGCAGACTTGGTGGGTGAGGTGTGCGGCCCCCTGGCCACTTCCTGCCCAGGAGCACCTCCAGGTGCACGGAGCCCCTGTGAGAGGTGGAGCACACCCTAAGTCTCCCAGCCCAATCAGACTAGTACAGGCATCAGCCCCCGGCAGTGCTCAGGCCCTGCTAATGTGTGGCTCTGCACCCGGCAGCCTATTAAGGCCAGAAGTGAACATGACAAATGTGCTTGCAGTGGTGGCCGCATTTAATGCCCCTTCCTAGCGCTGCGCACGCCTCGGAGACTTCATCAACTCCCTGCGAGCCCCCGGGGCAGGGACGCGGGTCAGAGGAGGTGCTCCTGCGGTTTCCGGGAGAGTCCTTAGAGAAAATGGCTCCTGGAATACCCATGGGTCCGGATGCTGCACGGCGAGGTGGCCACAGGGGCGGAAGGAGCCCCAGGTGGGGCCGGGGAGGGCAGAGCTCCATCTGGACGTCAGCACGGCAAGCCAGATCTCTTAGGAGGAGCAGGGCCATGGCGTGGGTGGCCCCGTGCTGTCTCCTGTGGGCTGTGGCCTCCAGCCTTGGGTTTCTGTTCTCCCGTGGGCTCTGTGGGGCTCATGTCATGGAGCCTCCTACGCAAAAGACAGAGAAGCCCACGGCAGTTAAGATCCCGAAAAACCCAAGAAGTTTGAGGCCGAAGGTCACAGTGTGGCTCCAGGTGACTTGCTGTTCTGAAGCCACCCTGCGGCCAGCAGGTGGCAGCAGTGCCCAGGCTGAGGCCCTCTGGGCAGCGCAGGTCCCAGCCCTGGTTCCTTCCCTGGCCTGATCACCTCCTCTTGGCTCGAGCCCCCAGAACCATGAGTCCCCCAGAAGCATGCATACCCAGCCCCAGCCAGCCCAAAGGAGTTCACAGGGTCGAGCTCACAGGTTTGTGCCGTCCTGGAGGTCTGCGGGTTGTGCCAAGGTGGCCCCCAGCTCCGTGCTCCTCCCACTGTCATGCTGGCCGTGGGTCCAAGACCGTTTGGTAGCCACTGGCTACTAGGTGTTCGCCTCCTTCCTTTGGGGGCGGGAGGCGCAGGGAAAGGCTTGGACCCTCGATGAGCCGCAGTGCTGCGAACTGGGTGGGAGAGAGGACGCCCTGACCACCACTGAGGGAGGCTGGGAGGAGCTGGAGGCGCCGCCCCCCTCCTGGAGCCCAGGCTGCACCCCGCTGGGCCAGCGCCTCCCTGCTCCCCACCGCCCTCCCGTCCTTCACCGCCACTCAGATTCCAATACAATTCCCAGCTAACCAGCATGTCGATAGAACAAGTCGGCCGCACAGTGCCGGCCAATTACAGGAAATCATTCCGCTCCACAGCTCAGCGCGCACCCTCGGGAAGGAGGGAGGCCTTCAGGAGGGTGAGGGGCCCGGGGACGTCCAGCCCCGGGCTCTGCGCTGGGTCCAGTCCCTATGCAAGACCCAAGCCTCGGGCCAGAGATGAGGGGAGCAGGAGAGAAAGATGCAGGATGCACAGGGGGCAGGGGCCTTGGGAGCCCCAGGAGGGGGTGGGCACCAGCCCCAGCGTGAAAAGCAGTTGAGGGCCTGGAGCCAGGACCTACAAGACCTGTACCCTGTGTGGGCCACACCGGTGGGGGGTGAGCTCCCAGGGCCAGGGAGCCTGGAGGAGAGGACCAGCTCCCTGCATCCAGGTGGCTTGTGTGGGAGAGGACAGGGTCCTCCTCACACCTTCAGCCCTTCTACCTTCAAGTCCCTTCTCTGGCTCGTGAGACACATTCACTCAGTGCCTGGCGTCCCAGCTTATTGGGAGGCTGAGGCAGGAGTATTGCAAGTCGGAGGCCAGCCCAGACAACTTAGTGAGACTCTTAAAAAATGAAAGGGGCCAGAGCATAGTGCAGGGGGAGAGCATGTGCCTGGCATGCACGAGGCCGTGGTTCCAGTCCAAGTCCCACTCAGCAGAAGGACCCCAAGTCCCCTGCACTCACCCATCTGGGTCTCTTCCTTTGCCCTCCACCACCACGGCTGTCCCAGAACTGCCAGCAAGCAGCTCTCCTTCCTGGCCCCCACACTGGTGGTCCTTGGAGAGCAGAAGCCCCCATGGACTCCCTCTGTCAGGGAATTGAGTGACTGTGGGAACCCTGGCAGGAGCCCCTGAGACCCAGGGCTCTTCCTCTGGTGCAGATGCCCAGTGAGGGCCTGGCAAGGGGCATTCAGCCCTTTGGGCCCCCGAGGGTAGGCAGGTGGTACAGGGAGAGGACCTGCCCCTCTGCCCAGCATGCAGCACCAGGAAGAGGTGAGGCTGGGGACAGAGTTCCCCGCCAGGGTCTAGAGTAGGACGGCCTGGTGTGTCCTCCCTTTGCACCCTGGGCATTGTCCAGGCCCTCTCTGTGTTGGAAGGGACCTCCAGCCTTGCTGGCCGGAAGCTGTCACCCTTGTGGTTCCCCCACAGGCCGGCGCCCAGGCTCGGTGACACGCAGGACACAGCCAGCCTGCTGGCTCGGGCCATCGACCGCTCGCCTCCCTCCTTGCTGCTCGCTTTTAATTGAAGTTTGTTTGAGCAGAGTGCCGAGCAGGCAGAAGCAGAAGCCAAATATTTAGTTGCTGCAAATTGGCACCTGCAGATCAATTACCCGGCCTGGGCCGACCGCGGAATCTCAATGCCGGCACCCAGCCCCTGCCATGCATCACTTGCAGCTGGCAGAGGACAGGTTTCCGATGGAAGAGGGTCCCAGAGAAAGGACTTGGTCTCGTGGGTCTGGCCCGGTCCCAGGAGCTCACTGCGGGGTGACCTTGGGGAGTCCTCTGTGCTCCCTGACTGAGACTCCTGTCTACATGTGGGGACCCCAGCACCGGGTGGAGTTGACAGCAGAGAGGGACCCAAGGCTGCAGCCTTGGTGGCTTCCACCCTTGTGAGTTCTCCGCCAGGGTGGGGACATGGAGCACAGGTGGGATGGTCCAACCATAGCCAAGGCCGCCGGCCATCCAGTCCCCAGCAGTCCAGGCTCAGCCCTGGGGGGACAAGAAGGAGGAAAGGGCCACCCTGCCTGTGGAGGGAAGGAGGTGATGGTGTGGGGGAAGAGCCCTGACCTTAGGAGGGTCTGGTGCTGACAGGGGAGCCCCTCCTTCCATCCCACTGCCATGGAGTTGCTTGGCCCTTTATGGGTGGCAGGGCTTGCGCAGCATGGTGTGAGGGTTGTGAGCCCCAGGATTCCAACACAAGGAGGGTGTGGGCCACCCCCACCCTGACCAGCACCCCCACAAGGCATCAAACCTGGGGTCCAGGTGGATCCCAAGGCTGACAACTATAGCACTCCACTCCCCCGCCTCAGTTTCTCCAGCTGTGAAGCGGGCTCACTGGGTTCTAGTACCCCACCTTCCACTTGTGCTCCTACCCCTTACCCCACCTGTAATACAAAACCCCCTTTCTGGGGTTGCCAACCCACCATTCATCAAGCCTGGAAGTCCTTCTCACAGTCTACCTTAAATCTCTCACGGCCTCCTCTGGGAAACGTGTAAAGGATGAACAGCAAAAAGATAAATGCTTATGGGTGGGTGATGCCACAGTATTTTAAAAAATACCCCACAGAGGCCTGGGAGGGGGATTATCTTCACACAATGCTCTTTACACTAAACATCTTGGTGATAAATATAGCTGTGTGATTCTTTTTTCTTCTTGGCAGGGAGAAAGGCTGAGGCAGGGAGACAGGCAGAGGGACCAGGAAATATAAATCAACGTGTGACTGTAATATATGTGCTCGTCGTGTCTGTGTGTGCCGGGGATTATTAGTAACCTTGATTCCAGCTCAGTGTCCACGCAAGGCGGGGGCCGCGTGGCCCCCAGGGAGGAGGAGAGAAATTAGGAAGCCAAATTCTCCTTCTGATTGACACCTGGGTAAACATTATCCTGGCAGAAGGGGAAGAAAAAAGATCAATTCTGGGTATGTTTATCACGTTCCAGGGACGGACGGCAGAAATGAAAGAAGCTGACGTCTAAGGAGGTCAGCTGCAACGGGGGCAGGAGTGGATCTCGGCCGAGTCAGACCTGGTCCGCTGGGCCTCTGGGGGCCCCAGGGAGCCGTTTCTCAGTTCCTGTGGGGCCTGTGGCTTCTGAGGTTGTGGATAGCAGGCAGGATGAGGGTGGAGGGAGCACCCGCTGGAGCGTCTCAGACCAAATCGCAGGAGTCCTCAGCCTCTGGCCCGCCTGGCTCTGTGAGGCCTTGACCCAGGCATTCGGCCTGAGCCCCCTCTCATGTGGCCCGTACCCCACTTTTCTCGGCTCTGCACAGAGCAGAAGGTGTTAAATGTGGGTCCTTGTAAATGTTCTTGTAGCCACATTTAAAGAAGAAAACACCTAAAACAAATTCAAGTGAAATTCAAATTAAATGAACCCAGTATATCTAAAATATTACTTTTTCTTTTTCTTTTTTTTGAGCCAGGATCTCACTATGCTGTTCAGGCTGGTCTTGAGCTCACTTTGTAGTCTAAGCTGGCCTTGCACTCACAGTGACCCTCCTGCCTCAGCCCCCTGAGTCCTGGGATTATAGCATGGCTGTCACATTTGAGTTGCTCCAGAGTGGCAGGCTGGGCAGTGACATATTGGTCCAGGACCATTCTAAGATAAGAAGTCAAGGTAAGGCTTCTGAGCTCCATGATGGACAGACGTAGTCCTCTTTCCTAAGGCGTGACAGTGGCCAGTGGGGAGCCCTGCAGGCCCACATCCGGTCCCCAGCTTGCAGGCAGGACGCAAGCCCTTCTCTGGATCCGCAGTCCCATGGGCAGTGCCCTGGACATGTTCTGTCCTTGGAGCCCTCTGAACCTGGCACTCTCACCTGCCCTTTGGCAGCAGAGGGGAGGACTCCAGGCCCTTCTAGGACAGGCTGCCAGGGCTGCGGGCCACAGCTCCTGGGTGGCAGCTCCTGCTGGAAAGGGGCAGGAGGGGCTGGCAAGGGTGTAACCCCCAAGGGCCACCTGCAAACCCACGTGCACAGGCGCTTGACTGGGGCCAGACCTTAGGGCTGGGGAAGG